AGTTTCTTGGGCCCATATGACTTGTGACTTCTTCATGCCTCTCTGGACTTCAGTTTCATTTGAAAACTCAAGACCCCATACTTCTGCAAGGAGACACCACGGGTCCATCAGGGTCTCTGGAGGCTGGAGTCGGGGGCTTATAGGTACTTAAGCCCTCCTTACGTTGGTTCTCCCATCGTGGTCCACAGGGAGCAGCTCCCCGAGTCAGCCTATATGCATCAGCTCTTGGGCCTCAATCTCCTCTTCCTGCTGTCCCAGAACCGGGTGGCTGAATTCCACACAGAGTTGGAGCGGCTGCCTGCCAAGGACATCCAGACCAATGTATACATCAAGCATCCTGTGTCCCTCGAGCAGGTGAGGCTGGGGAATGGGCGTGGAGGGAGGATCTGGAGGGGGTGGTGCAGGTGCAAACATTAGGGAAGATTTCCTGGAGGAGTGAGCTGGGGTCACCTGTCTTCAACTTGGGGACTCATTTGCTCATTTTTTCAACAGCTGTTGAGCCCCAGCCACGTGCCATGACACTGATTGGTTTTCAGACTGTTCTACAAATAAAACATTAAAATCCGGGATCTGGTGGGCATGACATTCAGATGAGGAAGCAGACAGTAAACAAAAAGATTAAGTAATCTATGTGTTCTGTCAGATGTTAAGTGCTATGGAGAAGAACAAAGTAAGGAGGGTGGAGAGTTGGGGCAGGGGTGAGTTTTTTTGTAGTGTGGTCAGGGAAGACCTTCTGAAAAGGTGAGATTTGAGAAAGATTTGAAAGGGGCCATGAACCCAGCCACGTGGACATCTGAGGGGAAGTGAACCGAGTAGAGGGAGCAGCCTAAGGTGCTGAGGCAGAAACATGCCTGGTGTGGCTGAGAGTAAGCCAAGAGTAAAGTATTTCTAGGACAAGGTGAGCATAGTCAGGGAAGAGCTCTAGTACCTAGTTTAGGAGGTAGTTCCTAGAGCTGAGGTCTCATGGAAGGAGTTTGCTGTGGTGAGAAGATGGGAGCGAGCAGTTATGGCTGGCTGCACAATGCAGGCAAAGGACTGGAGGGATGAGCTCTGCGGTGGGTCCGGCTCTCTCTCCTGTGGAGAATAGGTAAGAGCATTAGCTATCAGCACAGGGCAGTTTGGAGAAAGAATGTGCATGCGTGTTTGTGTGTGTGTGTACACACAAACCAGGGAGTGCTTCCTGGAAGAGGAGGTGCTCAGTCTGCATGGGGAATCATGGCTGTACTCTAAGGGTGTTCTAGCAGAGGGGATTATGGAGGCACTGGGAATGTGGTGAGGCCTCAGCTGGCAGGCCCCTATGCTACCTCTTCCTTATCCTCTTTTCCTCTCCACCCCTGGCCTCTGTAGTACCTGATGGAGGGCAGCTATAACAAGGTGTTCCTGGCCAAAGGCAACATCCCTGCTGAGAGCTATACCTTCTTCATTGACATCCTGCTTGACACTATCAGGTGTGTGGGGTGGGGCAGGGTCCTGTAGAGTTCAGAGAGTTTGGACTCTGGAGTCAGACAGCCCTGAGTTGAAGCCCATTCTGGCCACTTGTAGTCTGGAGAGGTTGGGCACATCACTTCTCCTTCTCTGTGAACTGGAACTTGTCATGAGATTGTGGAAAGCAGCCCTCATCCCACTGGGGGCTGTTTATCTGTGTGCCCATATGATCCAGGCTTGGGCTTGGCACCCAGACAGCACTCAGCAGGCAACACCCAAGCTGCCTGTCTTAGAAGTGCTCCAGTCCATGAGGCATGGGACCTCACCTCAGGTCTCTTAAACTGTGGAACCCTCAGTTTCTTCTTCCTTAGAATGGGGCCATTAAGTCCCGCTCAGGGGTTGCTCTGTGCACAAGTGACGTGACATGGGCAGGCGGGCGTGACACTGACACATCCCTTGAGGAATAAAAGGGTCCAGGTGGTGGCAGAGCGGGTTCATGGGTGCAAAGTGCCAGACTGAGATGGGTTTCCATTTCTTGGATGGCAGAACCAAGCCCAGAGATGTGGTGGGAGTGAGGAGGGCTAGCTTATGAGTTTAGGTTATTTTTATTTTTTATTTTTTTTTAAATATTTTATTTGTTTGACAGAGACACAGCAAGAGAGGGAACACAAGCAGCGGGATTAGAAGAGGGAGAAGCAGGCTTCTCACCAAGCAGGGAGCCTGATGTGGGGCTTGATCTGAGGATTCTGGGATCATGACCTGAGCCAAAGGCAGACACTTAATGACTGAGCCACCCAGGCGCCCCAAGTTTATTTTCAAATAAATACTTGGTTCTCCAAGGAGCGCCTAGGTGGCTCAGTGGGTTAAGCCTCTGCCTTCAGTTCAGGTCGTGATCTCAGGTCCTGGGATTGAACCCTGCATCGGGCTCTCTGCTCAGCAGGGAGTCTGCTTCCCCCTCTCTTTCTCTGACTGCCTACTTGTGATCTCTCTTTTTCTGTCAAATAAATAAATAAAATCTTAAAAAAAAAAAATTTGGTTCTCCAAAATGAACAAGGAGTGGTATGCAGGGAGTGTCTGCATACCTGCCGCTTGGTCTAAGAGATAAAATACATCAGAAAGGGATGCACCCTCCATGTCACTAACTTGTCCCCAGAGCTCACGCCTTTGTTTTCAGTGACTTGATCTTTGCTGTTTCTCTACTTCAGTGTTGATCTTATGCTTCTGAACAGGGGTGGCAAGGAACCCTCTCAGGATTAGATCTAGAAATGGGGTACAGCAAGCACCCTCGGGTATATGGGGGGTGATGCAGTGAAGAGATCCCCTCACGTGAGTCCCGGCCCGGGTTTCAGACAGCCTGAAGTCCTAAGGACTGGGAGTGGGATTCAGAGTTCGAGCCCAGTAGTCTCAGAGATCTGGACCCTGCTGTGGCCCTGGCTTTGCACCTCTGGTCACGCTCCTGCCCCTTTCCAAGCCTGGATGAAACAGGGCAGGAAGCATGTTTCAGCCGTCAGTGCTGAACTGCAAGTTCAGAGCTCACATGTGTCAGCCCTGGGAGGACAAGCCCTGGAGAGTTGTCTGTGTTCAGTAATGAGAACCTTGTCTTTCCTCAGGGACGAGATTGCTGGGTGCATTGAGAAGGCCTATGAGAAGATCCTTTTCACTGAGGCCACCCGGATCCTCTTCTTCAACACACCCAAAAAGATGACAGACTACGCCAAGAAGGTGCCTGGGGCACAGGGCAGGGAGGCGTGGGGCCAGGGGTGCACTCACAGTAGGGTTGGGGGGCCTGGAGGGACTCTGGAGCAAGACTGCACATGTTTAAATCCAGCTGTGTGACCTCAGGCAGGTTGCTGAACTTCTCTGAGCTTCGGTTTCCTGATCCATAGAATGGGGGCTGGAATTTAACATGTGGGTTGAGCTTAGCATAGCACCTGGCAGGAGGTGGAGTGGACGCTGATGCCCAGGGCCTGTTGAGCTGTTGTCCTTAACAGAATTCCTTAGAGGATGCAGCTTTTCTCTGCAAAACCTTGCCTCATTTGGCCTGGGGTGTTTATGCAGCAGTAGTGCCCTTGGAGGTGCTAGGGCAGGGGGTGGAGGGTAACTGAGGAGGGTCAAGACCAGACTAGAAGAAGTGAAACTGAACTTCAGCTGTGGTGACAGCTGATACTTAGTGATCATTTACTTTGGGCCAAACGCTTCTCGGCGCTTAGAGAATTGGTTCACGGAATCCTCATAGCAGACCCAGGGAGCTGTGTGATTAGAGTCCTTGCTTCAAACGTGGAGCAGCTGAGGCACAGAAAGGTGAAGTCACTTGTCTAGAGTTGTGTGGGTAGAGTAGGGTTGGCAAGGAACGTGAGCCAGGGCCCAGGTGGGCAAGTGCTGGCTCTGTGGGGTGGGGAGGGAGCTTGTGTGATCACCCCACCCATCTGTCACCCTTCCCTTCCTGCAGCGAGGGTGGGTTCTGGGCCTCAACAACTACTACAGCTTTGCCAGCCAGCAGCAGAAGCCAGAAGATACCACCATCCCCTCCACGGAACTGGCCAAACAGGTCATCGAGTATGCCCGCCAGCTGGAGATGATCGTCTGAGCACCCCCAACCCCGGCGCCGGGGCGAGGCCGGGCCTGCGGCATTTAAAGCAGTGGCAGGGCAGGACTTCCTCCAATAAAGGTGGATTGACCTTCTCTCTTGTAGGCCCTTGTCTCCCCGGGTGGAATGGTGGGGAGACAAGTTCCTTATCTTGGAAGAACTTAGAAGTTTGGGGGCCCTCTGGGGTGGAGATAACCCTCTGTTGGGTCAGCCTCTGCCTGGCGGCCGTTGCTGAAGCTCTCCGATGGCAGCTGTGACGGGGCCCCGGTGGCAGGAGAGCCCAGGGTCCAGGTAGAGGGATTGTTGCAGCCGGCTGTGGACCCACGGGACTGCCAGGCCAAGGCACGAGTTTTTCAGCGAAGGGGGTGATGCATCACAGTTTTAAAAACGTTTGCAATTAAACCAGTTTGTTCAATGACATGTGAAATGGAACCCGTCTGTGGGCTACCAGTTTGAGACCTCTGTGGAACGATAGGTGTGGGTGCTGGCAAGCCTGCCCTGGTTCCCAGCCTTCCTGAGCCGGTACTGTAACTTAGGACCCCCGGTACTGCCCCCAGCCTGTGTTTCCTGCCATGACATTTTCGAGAAGGTGTTTAAGGCAGCTTCCAAATCTGGCTGAGCCATTTGTGGGACTTTCAAACAAAGTCTTCTAGAGTCTGTTTCCACACCTGTATAAGGGAGTGATCACCCCTGCTTTCCAAGGGGATTTGTGCCGAACATCTCAGCTTGGCCTCAGGTTGGCTCAGAAATGGGGCTGATGGTATTAAGGGTAACGAGACTGTCTAACCTGCCGGGCCCATCAGTCCAGGTGCCACATGCCTGGACCTCCGTGACTGCTGTCAGGGTCCAGTCTCCTTAACTGTTTCTAAGACGTGCTTTCGTGGCGGCCTCTGCCCTAGCCCACCCCATCCCTTCAACCCTGAGGAAGTGACTGACAGGTAGCTAGACATCTGGATGGTTATTTTATTGTCAAGGACAGGGAAGCAGAGGGCACTGAGCAGACTGCACTCAGTTGGAATGGGTGGCCTGCAAGTCGTAGTGCTCCAGCCCGGCCACCAGGGAGCCAGCCAGCTTGATGGTGGCAACCCAGGGTGGCTCGCTCAGGTGGTTGGTGGGCGTGCTCAGCCTAGGGGGAGGGTAGAATCAGCAGGGCCTGGCCATGTGGTGGAGCCCTTGCCCCTCCTAGGTTTCACTTGCCCCATCTGTATGAGGGGCCATGTATCACAAAGGCAGTCTAGGGCAGGGTTGTATCCACTTAAATTTAGGAAAGGGGGCTAAGGATTGGTGATATTGTCTGTGTCTATACTCCCCTCCCCCCCACCTGGCCCATCCCTACTGAACCCTCAAGGGGTCCAGAGCAGAGGGTCTCTTGGTGATTCAGGATCTTTGGGAGCCAAGGTCAGATGAACCCTGGTGACCAGATTCTGAGATTCTGTGTGTGTGTGTGTGTGTGTGTGTGTGTGTGTGTGTGTGTGTGTGTGT